ATATAGTTTTACTGAAAGATCCATTCAGCTAAAAGTAGCTTTAGAGGGCATTTTTTGCACTAAACCCTATCCCTGTCTTCATGTCTGAAGCAAACTGTTTCCATTTTAGCCTTGCATGCAATATAAAGACTCTAGTCCAACTGCTAAGTCATACTAGCTATTAAGCTTCAAGAAGATCTACTTACAAAATCATCTTAATGAAATGCACCATTTTTGCCAATAAATGTGCTCCAGCTTATTTCATTATGGAGCATCTGTCCTTCACAAACATATTTTTCTTTTCTGTCTTGACAAAAACAAGTGTGACTTTTTCCAGGTCTGCTGCACACAGCCATGGTCAGAGGTGCTATTGACAGGAGAAAGTTCACCTAAGCGCACCAGACAGAAGAAAAGGACATGGACATGTGCTGAGCTTCAATACAAAGAAATTCCACTCAACATTTTTCTAATTCAGTTTTTTATTTTTGAATGTTAAAAAGTAACTATCTCATAATAAAGGCAATAATTTAGAAAGTATGTATAATGTATATACATATATACACACATAGTACATATATACACACATATATTTAAATTTTGCTAGTGACAGTGGAGTAAAAAAGTCTCTCTATTGTCTGGAAACATTTGAACACAGAAAGGGACAATAACTTCATTCCAAAAGACTGTGTGACTAACAAAATGATATTAAAGTGAGATGTTAAACTATTGGACTATGAAAGAGAACCATGTGGATATTTGTAAGGAAGATAGATGTTACAGATAAAAAGGAAACTGTTTTACATAATTAATTATACTAGGTAGACACAAAGAAATGAGGACTCTAAATGAAATTATCACATTCTTTCAATGAGTTAATGATAATTTTCCTACATTTCAAAAAGAACAATGAATTAAATATCAAAAATGAAAATTGGAAAAGGGAAGTCAAGCTTATAGCTGAAATTAATATGGGAATGAGAACGAAATGATTTTGGACACAGTTGTTGAATTCCAAATTAAACTTGAAGAATGAGAGATATCCAGCTGAGATTATGTGAAAATGAAAGTGAGATTTCAAAATGCTTTTTAAAGAAGGTTGTGTATCATTTGGATACTTGCTTGAGGAAAGTATAAATTGATCCTTTTTTTTTGAGAATCATTGGGTGGTAAGTATCTAGAGATATAAAACTGAACATTTCCCACTTTGCAAAAAAGAAAACCATTGAAAATATTTTCACGAAGCAATTTTCTCCCCAACACAATATTTTCACCTTTGGGATGACAAGTATGACTGCAGGAGTGATTCATCTCGAATATTAAAAATATCACTGAGCTTCATGGCTGCCCAAGGGGGATGCAGAGCAAAACAAACACTTTCATTTTTTTTTCTCTTTACTATAATGCATCTTTCCTTTTAAAAAAATTTTAGAAAACCATGCATCACACAGAATACACTGTCTTTTACAGACAAAACAGAGAGTTAAACAAAGGACAGGCTTGCTATAGGCTAGTGTGAGAAATCGATAAATAAGTTATGTCTCTTCTCTCTCTCCTTAACTCTATTCTCTTTCTAACTGTATTGTCCCTTATCCTCTTCTGAACTGGTTGGTTTAATCCAGAGCTGGACTGAATTGTGATGGACACATATGTTTAGTCAATAATCCAGATAAATGACATCCCCATACTTTTTTGGTTGCATTCAAAGAAAGTGACCAAAGAAATGTATTGGCCACTATCTTCCTTCATTAAAAAAAAAAAACAAGATAAAATTCATAAAGAAATAACTTCATAAATATCAATTCCATATTTTCTGAATTTGGAATTAATTCTGTAGTTTTTACTTGTCTTTCTCCTTATCAAAATTATCATGTAATATATATCAAGCATTCTTAATTTTAATCCCTACAAAAATGTCTTAGCAAAAAACAAGATTTATGAAACAAATTAGTTCATATTTTAGAAGATGTAATATTGAAGTTAAGAGAAAATAATGTAAAGAAATATATTGAAGTGAAAAGTCTCCTAGAGCACAAAGCACATATTGTTTATTTTAATTAATAAGTGGGTTATTTATAATTTGTTGAGCAACTATTAGCACCTAATAGTGCTGGAAACTTCGATGACAATATATGCATTTCTATGTTGAACAGGTACAGGAGGCACAATTACAAAGTAGAGTGAACCTAAGAGTAAAAATAACAACTTATGTAGGAAGAGTAAAACTTTTAAAAGTTCTTAAGGAAGAAAGAATTAATAGAAGCATTTATTTGACATCGTCAGTTAGTTCTACAAATTAGAAGGACCTAATCTGACCCCTGTAGTGCAGAACACTTTCTATAGTTTCAAATGGTTAAAAAAAATGTTCATATATAAAAATTGTATTAAGTTGAAATATCTGTCCATAAATAAGGTGTTTTTGAAACACAATGCTACACACACGCAAAAAAAAAAAAAAGTGACAGATGAGTAGGTAAGTAGTTGTAGTCCCAGGTGTTTCTCATAAATAAGAATTTTTTTCACTCAAATTCTTGGCAAGTTGGCAAAAAAAGTAAAGCAGATAATATTATAAAAATATGGTAATCTTAACTTTTAAAGTTAATAGTTTATAATAAGTCTTATATCCAGGGGCTATTGGAAGCTCTGATAGTGCATCTCATTTTATGGAGATTTGCATATCAAGTTAGAGGTATCTCTGGGCAATTGCAGGCTCTCATTTGGGTCACAGGCTCTCTGTAACATATGGCATAGAACAGAGCAGCATGCATGTGCCTGATAGGTATGTATGTCCTAAAACAGAAGAAATATGGAGGGCATAAGGCTGCCAGTTTCTTAGGATAATGTCAGTAATTAAATAACAAATCCTACTCTCCAGTGGAGTAGTCAGAGAGGAAAAAATAAACTGCAAGTGTTTTCTTCCTGTGGACATTTAAGAAATGGTAAATAGTTGAGCTCAGTGGCACACACCTGTAATCTCAATGGCTCAGTAGGCTGAGACAGGAGGATCACAAGTTAAAAGCCAGCCTCAACCACTCAATTAGCCCCTAGCTCAAAATAAAAAATAGAAAGGGCTGGGGATGTGGCTAGGTGGTTAAGAATGCCAGTGTTTACTTCCCCATTCAACAAACAAAAAATTGGGAAATAAATGCTCTACTCTACCTGTCCTTAACTGTATGTATTATATACATAATGCTCTGGCTTTAAACAATAATCCAATTTTTCACCACAGCAACAGATATCTTCTTTAGGGAAGATGAACATAGACAGTCCCGTCTGCACCATATTGAATATAAACAAGTGATGGCTGTGGCTTTTCTTGAGATCACTGGAGCCAAGTATAGATTTGGAACCTAGAAATCTGTAAATTTTCTCAAAATAGTACATTAATATGGTTGACTCAATATCTATTCTATACCAAAGAGTTACATCCAATGTCTACACTTTATCTTATCCAAAGGTTTCTGGCCACATTGGCTGCCATAGTCTGAGCTTTAATAAATAATGAAATGGAAGACACCATTATAAGGTTGCCATAATAAAAAGAAGAAAAAACTTGAATAATAAATTATTAATAATGAAAAGGCAAGATCTGAATACAAACCCCATTCTTCCATTATCAATTTCTCTTAGAGAAGATAAATTTTGAAATTATAGTTCTACACAAGTTAAAGTCTAAAGAAATCCATGTGTTCCTGTTACTGCTCTTCACACTCCCAGATTAGATATCCCTAGTCTCTTCTCCTGCTTTTCTTCTGGGCCCTATGTTTCAATTGTTACTGCCACACATACTCTGGTTTCTAACACAGGAAATCTGGGGGTGTTATCTCATATCTACTATGCATCCCACAAATGTGCAATCACCAAGTTCTAGTGACCCATATCTGAAATCACCCTTCCATGTGCCCAGTTCTGATTGAGTTGATACTCTATTCAGGGCCAACTCTCCTCATCTCCCAAGTGAACTAATGTAAAAGATTCTTGCAGTTCTCCAGTCTCTAGTCTCTTCTCCTCCACCCACTATCCACTCTAGCCAGGAATTGAGCCCAACTAAATTACATCAACAGGCACAGAAAGGCCTCCTATATGAGAGATTAAGGGTAAAATTCTCATCTATATAAAAAAGAAAAAAAGTGTCAACTCACTTCTAAGTAACAAAACATGAAGCACTCTATACATGTGATGCACATAAATGGATAAAAGAAAACAACTATTTACAGTGGTTCTTTATGATAAAAGGCAGAAATACCAACATGGGGTTTGTGAATGTGCAGGTGAATTGGTATATTTTATTCAACATAATTCTGTATTATTCCATTCCTCTAGTAACATAAAATATCATGGCATGCTTTTTATTTTATTTTTTCAAAAAGGAAAAACAATGTCCAAATAAGCAAAACAATGTTTAGAAATATGTAAAGCAACAACAGTATAATAAATATGTGAAGGTATGCAAAAGCCTCATCACAGATACTACTCAGTAGGCTTTCCAGTGCTGTGAATGTAAAGTGGAGAAAAACTTGGTGGAACAGCAGCAATAGGGAGCAGAAATTCGTATCAGAGAGAAGGGGCAAAGCCCAAACACATTTGCAATGGGAAAACATCTCAATTCCTCCCCCAGCCCAGCAGATAAAAGAGAATTAGATATCAAAAGACACTTCAAAGTGTCCATCTTGAGTGATGACTTAGAGCTGACATTAATGGTTTATATATGAAGTTGACACACTTTTCCAAGATGCTATTTTTTTATTTCCATTTTAATTGGCTGAATGAGAGATGATAAGACAATCAGGTAGAGATATTGCCTTGCTCCTGAGGGTTACAGTCTTAATGGTAAAAGTTGAGGTGGGAGATTCAGCTGTTTCTCTATTGAATATAAAGGTAATAGTGGATCTGCGAGTCCTTGTGGCGAAGGAACAAAAATGAGAGAGGACCAAAAGGCTGAGCAAAAACCTTTTAAAAGAGTCATCAAAGGGACTGGAAGGTAACAATGAGAATAGAATAGATAAAGAATGTGGAATGTACAGTCAAAGAGCTCAAAGGAAGAAAACATCCCAAGCAGCACGGAGAGACCAGCAATCTCACACTTTATAAGTGATATAAAAGATGAGAGGATGAGAAAAGTTGTTTGAATTTGACAAGAAGTAGTTATGGGTAAGCTGAGAAAGAAAAGTTTCTGTAAATATATATTTCCCCTTTTAGAAAAAAAGAATGTAGATTAAAATACACTGCAGTGCATCAGTAAATGTGCTATACCACATTAAGCATATATTCTGTGAGAAGAAGCTATAAAATAGGCAAATGATAGGAACAGATGATAAACAGACGGTGAAACACAAATAGCTATCAAGTATATGAAGAGATCCTCAAGCTCATTTGTAATCAGAGAAATGCAAATTAAAGTAAAATTATTTACCACTTTACAACCATCACATTGGCAGAAACTAGAAAGTTGAATGGTGATAATTATTAGTGGGGATGTGGAAAAACCAGACTAGTTTAATCTTGCTGAAGAGCACTTCAGCTGTATTTATTCAGATTAAAACCACATCTACTATATGACCCAGTATTTCTATTCCCAGTAATATAGTTTGAAAATATTCTCTCATGGGACATTAAAGGGGCATGCATCTCTGCTGATGGTATCATTCAGAGATTAGGTGATGCTGTGGTAAACCCAAAAACCCCTTACTTGCAAAAACATAGGTTTGGTTTTGATTCACACTGCCAGGCCTACCCAGATTGGCAGGCCAACTTCATTACTGTCACCACTCAGGCTGATGGAGCACCAACCCATCATGAATACTATTGGTTACTGCACAGAGTGGAAAGATGAGCTTTAGAGGGTTCAATTCAGCAATTATATGCTCCAGGCTAGAAGTGACATATGCAATATTGACCCATACTCATTAGCTGGAATTATATATCATAAGTGGTCAAAGATTACAATCATCCTCCCATGTATTCACATACTGTGTGTCGTGGGCTGACTGTTTCTGTGACCCCAAAATTCATGTGTTGAAACCTTACCCTATAATGAGATGGAATAAGGAGGTGGAGGTTTGGGGAGGTGATTAGAATTGGATGAGATCATGACAGCAGAGCCCTCTTGATGAGAACAGTGTGCTCAAAAGTCCCTAGAGAGCTTTCTTGTCTCTGCTCTCTATCAAGTGACAATACCAGAAGCTGGTAGTCAGCAACCTGAAAGAGTGCTCACCAGAACCTGGCCATGTTGTCACCCTGAACTTAGACTTCCAGCAGCCAGAGCTGTGATAAAAAACATTTCTTTTGTTTATAAGTCGCCTAGACTAACAATTGGTAGAGCCACTGAAACTAAGATACTTTAAAATCAGAAATATCTGACTCCTCCCACCATCAGAAAAGAATTGCTCGATGCAACATTGTGGTAGTAAATATGTTGTTAATTTAGGAATTTTGGTTTCCATCTCAAGAGGAATTTCAGAGAAGTAAAAGAATGTGTAGGTTTCTTATGCAATACCACGCAGCAATTGGAACTGAAATATACACAAGAAAGTAGGGACCTATTAAATAAATGCTGAGTGTACAAAGGATAAGATAATGAGGTTTTCTGTCCAACATTTATATGAATTAAATATGAAAATTCTCCTCAGTTTACAATGGAGTCTCATCTCATCTCAATACATCCACAGAAAGTTGAAAGTATGGTAAGTCAAACCCTCCACATCATAGCTTAGTAATACAGTATGCTGTATGGTAGCAGCTGTTCACTGGCCTGACTGCATGACTCACTGGAAGCTATGGTCTGCTGCTGTTGCCTGGCATGAGGGCAGGTTGAGGGGGGGAGAAAAAAATCATAGGTATAGATAAAAAATGTAAATTAGAAAATTAGAAGTCTAGTTTCTTTTTATTTATTTATTTATTTATTGGAACTAGGAATTGAATCCAGGGGCATTTAACCACTGAGCCACATCCCATCCCTTTTTATATTTTTGAGGCAGGATGTCACTAAGTTGGTTAGGGCCTGGCTAAGTTGCTGAAGCTGACTTTGAACTCATAGTCATGTTGCCTCAGCCTCCTGAGCCACTAGGATTATAGGCATTCACCACCATACCCGGCTAGAAATATAGTTTTTACTGAACGTGTATTGCTTTTGTACCGCATAAAATAAAAAAAAACTCATGTCAGTGAAGCATAAGTTGGGGATTCTCTGTGTATATATACACTAGACAACAATATAAAGATATATGCAAGTTTAAGTGTACATATCACAAACGTTTCTCTTAATTATTCATGGAAGAGAAGAAAGAATGGGTATAGGAAAAGAGAGAAGAAAGTAATAAATTAAATAAATAGAACAGAAGTATATCACATACTGACCAGTGACTATAGTCACCAGGAAGAGGGGAATATGACTAACTTGGTCATGCACAAATAGGCAATATATAAAAAATAAGCAGCTTATATATAAAACAAGTCATGATAAAACTAGCATCAATCTAAAAGAGACTAGGTAATTGAAAGTCAGCAAGGAAGTTGGAAAACATCCTATAAGGTACTGCTTGCCTATTGGAGCAACATTTTTTAGGATTAAAGGAAACTGGGAACTGTTCTAGGTGCAGACATAGGCAATTTCAGTTATTACCATTGAGTATTGCAAATTGATAAGACACAGAAAAAGGGACAAAATGATCTGTTTGAGGAAATATGTACCTTCTTGTCACCTTTTGTCATTTGTTAGAATTATCACAGGTGAGAAAAGTGCTTGGAAAGATAGTGCAGGGAGAACAAATTATCAGTAGCAATTGCTTATTTCAAAAGTTAATAGAGATGATTAAAGTCCCATTCATAGTTTTTAATGGAACTATAATTGTAGACAGATATGAAAGCTCTACCTATATTGCAAGCGCCCCCTCCCACTTGCTATAAAAGGTAGGCTCTCCTAGGTTGTGTGACAAGAACTTCTTCCCACTTCACCTTTGTTTACTGCTGAGTTTCTTTGCCTTTTTGGATTTATGATGCTTCTTCTCAGCATAAGTCACCCTGTCAATGCTTTGATGCATGTCAGTATGAACCATCTGCTTCTCTTTCCTCTCAAAAGTGAACAGTTATGTGGTTCCTGCTTGATAAGCTGTAACTTGACCTCAAACTAGAAATGCCTACCAACATTGGACATCCACCTGCCCCTGCTAACTCTCCCCTTCCTATGTACTCACAGGGCACAATCCATACAAGTAGCCTCAGGGTGTTTTGTAGTTCTCTTTTTCTTCCTCTGGTTATGTGTCCAAGTCATAACCTGAAATGAGCATGGATATCAAGCTAGTAGTCTTCAGAGTTTCATGTCACATCTATAGAGAATCAACTGATAGAGATCAGGCCATAAATTATGTTATTTTATGGACTACTGTGCCATTTTTTAAAAAAAATTGTATTTGCATATTGGATCTTTCTGATTTTTCTGGTCAAATGGAAGAAAGTTAAACTTGGCAAGTTGACAAAATTGTAGTTTTGTAAAAGCTGGAAGTGACTTTTGTGGTTAGTCAAAGTTTCACAGTTCTCTTTGGGGAAAAGCATGACCTCTATTTTATAGATCCAGAACTTGATGCCACATTGGAACTATATTCAGACAAAGGACACAAGATTAGGAAGGGCAAAAGGACAGTTAAAAGCACAGGCTTGTAAAAAGGGCTTACTGTTTACTTGAATTTTTAATAATTCCATGTTATATAAGTGTTTGAAATAAAACTTAGCTGACTGAACTCTAACATTAATATAGATTTTAATGATAATTTATTAATACTTGGTTTTGCTCCTCTTCAGAACTCAAAATAATATTGACATCAGAAAATATGCTATTAGCTAGAGATGCATATGGCTTACAGAGAAGATTATAATAAACAAACATTGATTTTTGCTGAGGTGAAGATCAAGGTAAAAATTAATCAATAGTTTTCCACTCCAACAAAATCTTAATAATATCACCAGCATGAAAATCCAGCGAGTTTGATTTCTCACTCTTTCCACTGGAAAAACCTCTGGGAAATTACAGCATCTTCTAAAAAAAAAAAAGTAAGAAAATTGTTCTCTGTAACCTTCTTGCATCCCTCTTTGGTCATCTTCCTGGCTCCAAGCGCAGAGTGCTATCCAACTTTCTTGGCCAGGAACTAAATGACTCAGACAAAAAAGAGTGGTACCTCCTTTTTAAAAGTTTCCTGCTTCAAATTAGGAGTAATTACCCACCTCTTAGATAATTCAGAAAACACAAAGAAGAAAACAAAATGGAAACAGAGTTCTAGCGAATGAATAGTAAAGAGAAAGTCATATTTCCATGTACTTCATTTGAATCATACAGGATTCTTAACAAATCCTTCATGGATACTGTTGTCTCAAAAAACATTTAAGAATAAACTGCATAAAAGTTGGTGGATTTTGTTTCCACTATCCCTATGGAAATCATATTTTATTTTTGAAACTTTAAGTTGTTACTTGGGATTTTATATGCTTGGTAATCCCCAGTGGGTGGCTATCATAACAATACACTCATTTTTCACTTCTTTTTAAACTTTTTCTCCTTAGAATTTGTAGCCATAAAATCATTTACATGTATTGGCAGTTTTTCTCAAATTTTAAAAATATGCAAATGCATACATGTATATATGCATATGCTCAAACTCAGCCTGGGTGGTGGGCATTCCAATGCAGAAGCCATAATGCCCTATCTCAGAAAGGGTTTTCCTCCTTCCTTAAACTTCTCTTCTAACACTATTTTGCAAACAAAAGTCAAACAATTGATTGTCATGGCATGTGTTGTGACCAGGGGTCATCCAATGCTGCTGGTGGAAGCTTTCTTACATATCAATTCTACCTGCTCATTTTTAAGATAAGAACAGAATTCAGAAAGGTTGAGACAAGTATATAACATGTGGAAGATCTGGGATTAGACAGGAGGTCTCCAGTATGCAGTTTACAAAAACAACCTCTCCAGCTGTAGCTTTTGTCATTTTCTAAACATGACATTGAACTTCTGTTTCTAGAATAGAATTTGAAAGGGTAGGGTCACTTTAAGAATAAAGAAAAAGAAAATGGAAAAAAGTGACTAAATCTTGATTGGAATTAAAACTCTAAAATAGAACATTTGTACATGTTTCATATAAATTGATACTATTTTCAAGCCT